CAGTACGTCTACAACTTGAGAGCTAATGGAAGAAAGAGTGCGATGATCATCTTGGGTGACCTGTTGGTTGATTTAGAATTCATTGTTTCATTTATCTCGTTTAAGAACTTCTGAAATTGACAGCGCAGTCGACTCAGTGAATACTTTGAAAACAGCTGGTTTTTCAATTTTCACCATTTCTGATTCACCTGATTTCGCTAAGCTTGCAACTAACAGTAGCTACTACTTTCCGTTTGTTCAAGATCCAACTGGTATCGCCCAAACGATAGCCGACAGTTTCTGTGAGTTTGAAACTATCAAAACGAGAACTTTGTTTTTCTAGGCACCCCCAATCCATGCTACTCAACGACTTCGCAAATGACGACCAGCAGTCAAACAACTACTGAAACTTTAGCAGTTCCATCTCCATCCACCACAGTCCAAACATCAACTGCCGGCACGACACCAACTACAGCTCAAACTTCTACTTTGGGAACAACAGCAACTACAGGACAAACTTCTACTTTGGGAACAACAGCAACTACGGCTCAAACTTCCACGATAGGAACATCACCAACTACAGTTCAAACTTCCACTATGGGATCGTCTTCTACCTTAGTCCAGACATCTACAATAGGCTCCACTTTGACTTCCACTAGTCCGGTGAGAAAATTGATAGAGATCTCCACATATTTCTCCCTTTCTAGAGTTTGATGAGTACAACGCCATGTGTTGTGGTAACAACATCAACTTTAGCTAGTACCACTGCTACCATGCCGAGCCCTACGTCGGATCCAGTTTGTCCTGGAGGCGCGTGTGTCTATAATGGTGACATATCTATTCTTTATGAACAAACAAGTCTTGAGGTTGTTAACTGCCTATTAAGAATTATTCTGAGAAAGTTGTTTCAGAAACAAGACGAGATAACAAGCTATGTAGCAGCAATAGCATCCTCGTTGTACTTCAGTATTGGTGGCGCTACAAGAATAACTGTTATACCTTACCCATTCAGTGTTTCTTATTATCCTCCTCCAGATTGGACAGCTGTAAAGTATGTTGAGATAAAAAAGACTTTAATAAGTTCTAACCATTGCAGAACACTCGCCGGATTGAATAGCACACTTGAAATATATGAATTGAGTTGGGATGACTCAGCTACCGACCCAGACATGTCAAGGTATAACAGTTTTTGTTGAAAGCAAGTAGTTGCGTATTCAGTGCAATGAACTATCTCTACCAAAATTTAACTCAAACTAGTCGCCCACTTAGAACTGCAACTATTATAGGTTACAAGTAAGTGAGACAAACTCATAATAATTATGTATATATTCGTAGCAACCAGGACGTGGGTACAGACGTTACCACTCAAGCTAAGAAAAGCTTGACTGACTCTGGTTATAAAATATACACTATTTCTCTGGATGGCCAAGGAGGTTTATCAAGTTTAGCAAGCGAAAGGAACTTCGATGCAACGAGTTTGGATCAAGTTAAAACAGCTGCAGATCAAATCGCTCTTTCTGGAAGTAAAAATATACCATATAATGGGTAGTTTATTGTTTTTTTTTTTCAGTTCCATCAGCATGTTGTCCTACTCTAACATCCATCACGTAAGTTTCATTCATATAGCTTATGAGAGACATTCCAATCTTTCAGCGCGTTCAGACCCGAAACGTCACAATATTCTTCAAAATCTGCCTTCGGCAACAAACAAGTATGTTATAATTATATGCACGCTTCACTGATTATGTGTGGTTTCAGAGCATGGAGTATTGTAAATCTATCTGTAATCTAATCCAATAATCTCAGAAAACGAAGTTTTCTTCTACTTAAGTTGATTCCTGAAAATGATCTTGCATATCTCCCTTTTCAACTTAAATTAGAATATTATTTTTTCATTTCTCGCTATTTCTCTACATCTTAATTGAGAAACTCTCAGTGATAATTAAATATTTATTTCTTTAAAAATTAGAATTATGGAACATTCCAGATTGATATATTCTTGATATTCGTGTCCCCTACAACAAATGAAAAAAATAGGAAAAAAAAACTCGGGTATTATATGTTTAAGATTATGTAATGAAAGTGGAACACGCACTAGCGAGAGATATTCAAATTACGGAATTGCTAATAAGAAGTGCTGTACATATTGCGAGATTCATCGCACGATATACCTTGCATTGCAATACTTTCACGTTCACTTTTCTCGCTGACGGTTTGTAGCTTGAACGGACGGAGATCAGCCATCAGTATGAATGGCTTCTGTCGAACTTTTGAGCTTCCCTACTTCATACGTGTTTGACGTTTACGAAATGCGCTGCCCTGCTTTGCGCGGCAGTTTTGCGAAAACAGCAACTGAGTTTCAAATTTTTCCATCATATTGTTTTTTTTTTGGCTTCTTTCATTTATTTATTCTAGTCTTCAAGATTCCTTCACATTTGTATTCAACACTGAATTCAGTGAACATTTGAACCGTATCACGGTGAAAGGCTGATTTATGAGAAAGTTGGGCAAATTCCGCTTTGCTACGTGTGAACTGACAGATTTGATGCAAACGGAAGAACTCTTATAACAATTTTGTTTTTTTTAACAACCTTTCGTTTGAGAAAGTTTGTCTCGTCTAGAGAGCCATGCGAGATGAATAGCCTAAATTTCGCATTTTAATATCAGAAAGTATCCGTTGAAAAGGGTTCAAAGGATCAATAAGGTCTGAACTACTATTTTTCGTAACTAGTGGTTCAGGTTCTGAATCAATAAATTGTTCATCAGATTGCTCTTTTAAAAATTAAGTTTTCCCAATCGTGAGGTTATTCATTGATATTAATTACCGAAAGTTTATTCGATGATAGAATTAAATTCTTCTACCGAACTTCTATTTTTGCTGCTTGGAGGGCCGCTGTGCAATCTCAATTGGTATTCCATTTGGATGTTCATTATGCTTTTTCTCAAAGTATGGGTTGTAGCTTAGACTGACCAAGACCGACCATCAGTATTAATGGCATTAATAGCGCAAATTAATTAAACCCTATCTTCAGTATTATTTTCCGAGCACTTGAAGTGTATCTGTTTAGATATTTCTCTTGAGATTTGTACAGTCTGTTGTTTTCTTTTATTCGTTCCTTGCTATTCGAGACTATTTTTGACCCTTATTGGATATAGAAACCTAGAACCTGTTATCCAATTATGTTCTTAAGAAACCATCTCGCTCGTGTTCTCTACTTCAGTCTACATTCTTGTTCTCAATTTATGTGAGCCACATAAACTTTCAGGAAAATATGTAAAAGTTCCAAATTTAGAATTGTTCTTGTATAATATCTTTTTTCGCTTCCTATATGAGTCCCGTTCTTTATGAAAAAATATAATTTCTACTGCACAATTCATCAGTAGAGTCATGCGGAATAAAACTTGTAATAATGATCCACTAGAGATACACGCCAAGTGGAGCTTATTTCTCTATATCAGGACGCGTACCAGGCGCAATGGTTTTCTGAGTAAGCATTGTCAAAACTTTAATACACATTATATATTATTACAAAAAAAAACCAGAAAAAAAATCCATTTTGTTCGCCTTTTGTCGTGATCGACCGTACAATGCACGAAAAACACTCGTCCTATGTACGGTGCACGCAAGAGCCGGTCAAGCAGAAATCCGTGCATCGGACCTGAACGAAATACGATGCACGAATGAGTTGGTAAGTGCACGTTCCAGTGTTTTTTTACCGGGAGCGGGGAGTGCGAGTGAATGGGTTTAAGGAAGTGGTAGGAAGGATGCCGTGGCAACAATTTCAGCGCCTAAGGTGGAGGCAGACTAGTTAACTAGTCATAAAAGACTATGATGTCTGATTTATTCAGATTATAGGTAAGGAATTTTGGATGCTGGTAACAGCGGAGAGGAAACTCTCCAAACTAATTAGTTAGTTTGTGAAATCCTACGGATTTAAAACCCTCTTTTCTTTGAATTCTTTTTCATGTTAAAGATGAAAGGAATGTTTTTGAAAACTTCACAAACGTGGACATCTAACTTCGCAAGTTCTGGTGTTGTGAATTCATCTGCTGATCACAACTACTTTTGAACAAAGGAGAGGTTGATTCTGTGTTGGAAAGACATGCCTACCAATCCAAAAATTCTTGGAATGCTCTGTGAACTTGTGTTTTGTGTTGATCAATCGATATCAGAAACTATAGCGGACTTTTAACCCTTCGAAACAGTTCGTAACTCTCATATTTTTAAAATTAATTCCTTTCATATATCGTTCTTGCTTTTAAGCTTTCACAGAGCAGACGACTCACGCAATAATCCAGGCACGACCGGTGCGGACAAGCGTATTTTGAAAATGAACTTATTGATTTTCATTTTAGTTCTTTAGAATTAAATTACCCGGTGTCATACTTCATCTTCATTCCAATACGTTAATCATCCGTGAGCGATCGTGCATTTCATTTTGTCTTGAAAATGTCAGACGCTGAAGCTATGCAAACTCTATTGGTACAGTTGTATCAATTGGCTAAGAGCCGTTCAGAGCTTAAACAGTTAATCGTTCAAATTATTTTCGCAACTAAATATTATTGAAAATGTTTGCTCTTTGATACAATTAATATTTTGTGATGTAAGTTAGTTTTTCTCTTATGTAGTCTGCACACATAGAGTTTGGTCTGCCTTCTAACCGTTTTCTAGCAAATTCTAGAAATCTGTGGATATATTGATTTCTTTTACAAAAAAACCCACACCTAGTGCTAAATGACTTATTGATTACGAAGTAGTAGGGTATTTCTTGATCAAAACTCTATATAAGGCTTTATTAATCGCGTAGTTGTATCTAAATATTCCCATCTTTTTCGTTTTTGCCAATATTTCGTTTGAAACTGAAGAATCTCGGAGTTGTCTCCAAGAGAGAATTCAACTTTCGATAATTAGTTGTCATACTAGCTTAT